TTTCATAGGGTATGCTGACCTGTAAGTTGGTGCTGTCTATGGTGTCAGGATTCGGTGGCATTTAGATCATTTATGGTTAATTACTGTAGCGTTTACATTTCTACCTAGTTATAGTAATATAATATTTTTCCTTTTTCATGTCATCTTCCACGTGTACTTCTGGAACAGTTACCACTTTATAGCTCAACTTGGTTAAGAACATGTGGTAAATCTACACTAATAAGGTGTTAAACTGCAACCCAGATTAAGATACACAGGTCATTAGCTACAATGATCATTTAATTTTATGTCTGAAATAGGAAAGTCAATAATTTTAGCTATATTGTTTAATAAATATACTCATATGCCTGACAATGAAAATTAATTTCAATCACTATTTTTGTGAAATAGTAAAATGAACAGAGAAAAAATATCAGAGAGTTCTGACTTTAAAAATTTTCCCTCTAAACTTGGGGTCTACAACCAACAATTCACAAATCAAATCTAGCCAGTCTTTTTTTAAAAAAAAATTTTTTTTAAGTGGACAAGCTAAGAAGTTACATTTTAAAATGGTTATATCTGAAATAATTATGTAAATACCTACAAAATATCCTCAAATTTCCCATTTGCCCCACAAAGTCTAAAACATATACAGTATAACTCTTTTAAAACAAAGTTGTATGACTCCTACGCAAAAATTAAAAACATTTTAAATACATGTATAATAGAAAATTTTAGGTATGAATTGCACAGAACTCACATAGCTAAATTTTGTTTCTTAACAAGCTTAAAAGTTTTTAGTATCAAGCCTCTTCCAAATTTCAATACTCATTATTAACTGAGGCTGAAATTAGTTCTGACCTGTGTAAAATTCATATCAAATTTGGCAAATAAAGCCTTACAGACATTGAAGGGAAGTGTTTCATTACTGTGACAACTCACTCCTCCAAATCCCTTTTTATTTAAAATTACTGTTATTGAAGCATAAGCGAAAAGCTTTATCTATAACACTTCACTCAACACAGTATTCCTAAAAAAACACTGAATTATTTTCCTCCAGATGCTATCTTGAGATTATTTCCACAGTTTTTTACATGATGTGTTTTTGAAAAACTACTAAAACAAATTACAAATACGTCACCTTAGCAATGCAGTTTATGTACACTTTTTGCCTACACAATTCTCCCAATGATGCAATAAAACGCAAATTCATGTGATTATGAACGACTTTAAAAACATGTATCTCCTTTGCAGTTATAGTGGTGCAAGTCTGTAATCCCAGCACTCTAGGAGACTGAGGCAAAAAGATCACAAAATTTGAGCCTAGACTGGGCATCTGGGCAACTTAGTGACTTAGCAAGACTTTGTCTCAAAATACAAAATAATAAAGTGCTGGGGACATAGTTCAGTGTGAAGACCCTGAGTTCAATCCCCAGAATCACATACACAAAGTTACTTAAGGAATGCTGTTTGGATGTTCAAAGCATATAGAACAAGAGGGAATGGGATAAAAACTGCAAGATGAAAAGAGAAGTACTTGTTTTGAGAATTGAGATACTTATTGAAAGTGTCCATAAAGCATTATATATAATATTCTGATGTGGAAAGTGAGGTCAGACTTCCATACATTTGTGAATCATCAACACTAGATATGGCTATTACGTGGGACTGGATAAAATGACCCAAGGAAAAAGGAGGAGGAAAAGTGAGAGACTAGAAAGGAGGCTCACACAGAGGTAAAGAGAAGCCAGCAAAGTGTAAGAAAGAGTGACAAATGCACGTGAGCTATGAATTTTAAATGGGAAACAGCACGGAGAGGCTAAGTCAGATTTGACAATATAAACAGTGGTTTTGACAAGTTATTTCAATGAAATACTAGGGGCATAAGCTTGAACTGAGGGAATCTAAGGGCAAACAGGATGTGATTGAGTTGAGACAGTAACTAGTAAAAAGATTACAGAATTTCACAGGGAAGGCAGTAGAGAAGAACCTGATGTCAAAGAACAGCTTTATTTACTTATTCAATAAAGACAGGTTATAAAAACCAGGAGAGAAAAATCAACAATAATGGGATTCAGAGCACTAATAGGGTGACTGTCCTGAAAGAAACAAGTATGCCATTGAAAGAAAAGAGAAATCAGAAAATGTTGGTAATGATGCAGATAACATTCAATTTTAGGGTAAAGGTGAGAAAATTGTGAGGTGAAACTATCAGCTGAAAGTTAAGAATTAAGGAAAAATAGGGGCCGGGGATTTAGCTCAGTGGTTTCACCATCTGCTGCGTAAGCATAAGGACCTGAGTTCGATCCCCTGTACCAGAAAAAAAAAAAAAAAGAATTAAGGAAAAATACACTAGAAATGTAGTAAAGCCAAGGACACAGGGCAGAGTGACTGTTGAGCATGCTGAATTATGTGGCCACTAATGTAAAACTTGGTTGTATGATTTTCTCCAGTGTTGCTCAGTTTGTAAAATGAGAGTTGTGAATTATTAGGTAAGGGTGAGATGAGAAAAAAGGGTAACAATATTATTTTGGACACTGGGCTCTAGAATGAGTATGTAAGAAAAGACACTTAAGAAGGATGACAGGTAGGGAGAAGTGGAGTAAATGTCCTAGGGCTTCTCTAGAAAGCAACAGGAAGACAACAGGGTGGGTGATAAGAATGTTAGAAACTAGGAGTCAGGGGTCTGTTGGTAATAACAGTTACAGTAGAAAAGTTATAAAGGCATGAAGTATGAACTTGGGGTAGATTATACATACAATGCAGTATAGGAATAAGTATGATGTAGTAATGTAAGGGTCTTGTAAGTCTGACTGAAGATAAACTAAATAGGTAAGTCATGCATGGTTAGGTTAGTTCTCACAAGGCAACCCGGAATTGCAATTCGAGTAGTAGTGAATACCACAGTAGACTTGTAACTCGCTTGAAATAGAAACCCTACTGCCCCACCCATAAAGCTAAGCTGATGCTAATAACTGAATGAGATGACTGGTATGAAACATGAAAAGGTTTTTCCTCTTATTCTAAGAAACTATTTTTTGTAGTTTATAGTTACCACTATATTTAAATACTTGCATTATTCAAATAGTCTGCTGCCATTTAGACAATGAACATTAAGTCTGGTTGGTATTACACTTGTCTGACTGGAGAAGGATATTATTTGATTCGGTGTTCCTAAAATAGGAAAATTATGATATACAAAATAATTTCATAATATTTAATCAAGTGAAATAGCATTTATTTCAATTTTAATGTATAAAGCATATCAAATGTGTACTTATTTCATAGAATGATCCAGCAAAATATTACAATAAAAACTAGGAGCTTAAGGAGTACTTGCCAAACAGCTTGCTTATAAGCTAAAACTTGTACATTGAATTAAAATATTTTAGGCAATAACAATTTTAGGCCATTTAGTGTCTGCTAATATATCAGAGTAATAACTGAATGAATATTTCCAGAAGTGTGCTGAAAGTACTGATCTACCACTCAGGTAAACATTTTTAAATCAGGGATTTTCTCCCCCTTCTAAATGTGGCTACATTTTTATTACCTGCATATTCTGAACTATTAAGTAAATTTTAATAATATACTTTATTTCATCTAAAACTATTTAATTTTAAAATATATAATAAAATTTATTAAACTAGTTTTTAAACTAATTAATCTAATTAAACTAGTTAATCTAAGTATTACAACAAAAATAAGCCAATTCCATTTACTGGTTTCCCAAAATGTTCTATCAATGAAAGAAAGAACAGCATTGTCCAGACTAAAGTCTTTTGGGCTTGCAGTCATGTTATGGTGGTTCTATCTGATCTGTCACAAGACATGTCTGTGAATGGGAGGTCCAACAGAGGTACACTTGCCTGGGTAACATGTACTTTTTCTTTGTAGGAGTACTATTTCCTTAGTTATATACTATTTCTTTAGTGATATAGAAAAATGCATGGCAACTGATTTCACTCATCATTTCTACCATGAGCCATGAATAATGACATCAGTCCTCTGTGTACATTAAGAAGTTCCTCTTCTTGCTATGACAAGAAAAAAAATCACACTTAGCTTTTATTTTTCTCTGTAAACTGTCAAATAAAATAGAAAAAAATACCCTATTAGAGATTCATTTTAAAACAACTCCTTTTATAAAGATCCTGTGTAACACTGCTCTTTCTACCCAATCTCCCGGCTTCTACAGTATATCTAGAATTCTGTAATCATCAGTAATATTTAAGGTGATCAACTGGGAGAAGACCTGCAATGTTTTAAATTCTCACATTCATGAAATTTAAGTTTGAACTTTAGAGGAAAAGTATAAAATAAAAATAGCCTAGAAGAAAGTTTTAACAAAAATCAACAGAGTCAAAAAAGATTATTTGCTTCAAGCTACACTAGGTCAGCCACAATCTCCTGATCCCCTACTATTTCACTATAATGACATTCTATTAAAACTTTACAAGTATACTGACATATTTTGTGCACACAAAAAAAATCAATGCTGACGTATAATTTAAAACACCTTAAACCTCTGAGAAAACACAAACATGTTCACTCAAAGCAGTGCCTTTAGCTTCCTGCCCAGGTGTACTTTTCCTCCCAAAGCCAGCTGCTGGTCTACTAGGCCTCTGCAAATTCAATTATTTTTATCCTCAAGTCCACATAAATGAAATCTTTTTGTCCAAATGGACAATAATTCTTTAATAAACTATAGTGTTTCAAGGCAGTTTTGTGTTGCTATTGTGCACAGGGCTTATAAACAGCACCAAGAAGCCATTACTCCATCTAATTTTTTCAATTTGCAAATTTATATTTGTTTTTCCCCTCAAGAGACAATATTAAAATTAACCCTATTGTTCTACTTTCCATTATTACCATTTAGTTCCCAGAACTAAAGTCACTGGGCTAAAACTACCTTCTCCCAATCCAAACAGAAAAAATAAAAAGCCCCTATGAAATTCTCATTAAAAGACATAAAAGCATAATTATGCCATTTGAAAAACACACTTAGATAGATATCTTACCATTTCCAAAAGAAGCCTCTCTTGCAGCATTTTCAAATTTTCTTTCATCGAGCCCACCTGAAAATAAGTAAACATATTTCCCCCATGAAATTTATAGTTTTGACAGCAAAGACTAGTGTAACCAAAATCAATAAAGATAGGGTATAAAAAATATAAATTATACCTCTGATGTAAAAACAGTTTCTTCATGATCAGATTTATAGAAGACATTTTTATCCAATGAAGTTTTCAAAAGATGAAGCCTAACAAGTAAAATAATGAATTGCCTTTGTATTAATCAGGAATTAAAGTTAAAATGGTATTGTATAATTTTTTCAACTAATATAAACTTAACTTTATAATCTAATATTATAGATTCCAGTCATTAAGAATGGCATACTAACCTCTGCCCTTCACTTCTCTGATATTCTCTGAACTGCTGATGTATCTTTTCCCAAAAGTCCTAAATTTTAAGATACAAAAATTAAATTGTACTTTAATATGTAAAAATTAAAAACTCCCAGAATAAGTATACTGATAGATTTCTAAATTTAAATAAATGATTTGGCTACATGCTAAGAATTATTTCATGTTATACAATCTTTCATTTAAAAAAATGAAAGTAAAATTTCTTCTATATTATCAAAGATATCCATCATAAACTTGTTGGAAATTTAAATGTTTGTATGAAGCTGATTACAGTCTAACCTAAAACTGAACTGTATTATAAAGAAAAAAGTTTAAGGTTGTTTTCTCAAAGCACAAAGTAAGAACAAGTTTTTCTAAAATAGCTTTTTGAGAGTTTAAAATTATTTTACAAGCACAAACCACAAATTCCTTCTCCAAATCTTTTAAAGATTGTGAATCTTTTTCAAAATTCTCCAGCTCTTCTATGATGTTCATCTGGAATTTATCAAGTTTTTTAATCCTATTAAGAAATGAAATGAGATTACTTTTAAAAACTATAGTATCCAGAACATGTATTCATAATAAGTGAATATACAGAACTCAGAAGTTCTCAGAATAGATTACAGACCTATACTCCTGAATTTGATGGTTCATTGTTTTCACATGCTGTTGAACTGTTGTCCAAGACTGCTTAGTAAAGTAATCTGTCATTTTATGTCGGATCTGAAAAAAATACTTTTACTTAAAATACCTTTCCAAAACAACAATCTAACCAAAACTATTAAAAGCAAAGCCTTTTCCATGAAATGTAAGTGACTAAGAACTCAGAAAAGTAAAAAATTATTTAAACTGAAGGTTTTATAAACCAGCTCAGTCAGAGCAGTGTCTAATTATATCAGTAAGGCTTTGACTAAGGACTGATGTTATTAATGAGAACATCACACTTACTCTATAGTATTTACAAAAAATTGCTATTGATTATAATTTCCTTCCAGAGTACATCCTAAAAGTCATAATAACAATTATTGTTTTTACCATTTTCACAACATGTACTCACATCTACTCAGAGATGCATTAACAGAATACATAAATAAGGGCTTCACTATTGAGATTAGGCTGTCCTTGAGCAAATAAGACAAAATAAATGTATAGAAATTTAAGTCACTGCATATTTTACACCTGGTCAGAAGAAAAAGGCAAGCAAGAGATGGAGTTGAAGGAGGCTATAAAATATCTGTCTATTCCAGACATAGGTATAGGAAAGAAAGATAAGGATGGAAAAATTACTAATGGTTAAAAACTGTTTTCCAAATTACTTTTGCCTCAAAAACTATTACCACATAAGTACAAAGCTGGCAGAACAAAGTTGGTAGTATATTGTTATTATTTAGATCTATAAAGTCCCCCCAAAGACTCATGTAATTTGAGGTCAGGCTTTTGGAAGGTGATTTGGTTACTACTATGGTCACAGCTGAATGTGCTGTTATGAGGTGGGGCCTGGCGGGAACAGGAGAGTCCCTGCAGTGTATCTCCTTCCCCCGCTCCTCCTTTCTCTCTCTGCTTTCTGGCTGAAGCTGATGAGGTGCATAGCTTTACTCTACAAGGAGGTCTTTCCACCATTCAGTTTCTGCTTTCGAGCCAGGTAACACATGAACTCAACCTGCTAAAGTTATGAGCCAAAATAAACCTCACCTTTTTAAATTTGTAGGTGTTGGGTATTTTGTTTCAAGGAGGAAAGTGACTAGGATATGTAATAGACAATTTTATACTGCCTCTCACTAATGGCCACTTCTGTAAGATAAAAAATGTCTGAAGAAGATAAGGCATGAAAAGAAAATTGTTCAAGAATATAAAAAATCTTAGAAGAGCCCAAATGATAAAATGAAAAGGAAAATAGGACAAAAGAGAACTAGCAGAAAAATAAAGAATATGGATAATGGATAGATTTTAGAAGTCAGAGAACAGCCCATGAGAGGTTTTTCCCCCACCAGTACCAGGGATTGAACTCAGGACCTTGCATTTGCAAGGCACATCCCGTACCACTGAGCTAAATCCCCAGCCCTCATCAGAGGTTTTAAAATCTGATAATTATTCCAATTTTTCACATATGCAAAAAGTTGTATTTATGAATGGGGCTTTCGTTCCCCAAGGATACAGCAACAAACAGTCTAATATAAAGGGTAGCACAGGATCATATTGTTGAACATAAAACATAATTTAAAGAACTATAAACTCACATGAATCTTCCTTTTAAACTGGGAATTAAGCTTCTCACAAATCATGCCTACACCTGGAAGGTTATTTTTCCAGTTCTCAGGAATAAAACAATCATTTGTTGATAATGGAGATAAACTTTCAAACACTAAAAAATGAAAACAGCTAAAGTTAAAATATATATTATAAATTTAATATTGTCATTAGCCTAAGGGAAAATCTTATTTTCATATTTTATGGTTGACCTAAGGATTATAAAATCAAAAGCAGATCTCTATTTTTAAATTTAAAAATGAAATTATTCTGATTTATTAAGGAACTTTTTGACATGGCTATTAAGACAAAAACAGCAATTTTTAAATGGACCACTTAGGGACTATTTTTTAATTGCTTTTACTTACTTTCACATTATTAATACAAGCATTCAGACACACTAACACATAATTCATAACTGTAGTAAAACTAAAATGTAGCAGTAAGTGATAAAATGATGATGAGACTCCCTGAGTACATAAGACATTTCTTACAGTATTACTTATACAAAGTGAAATTTGTGATAAAGACTCATCCATGTTGAACCTCTCCAAAGTTGTCTGTAGAAAGGAATTTGTTTTGTGGATGAAGTCATTCAAAATCTAAGAAGCTACCTTCCAAATAATTGCATTTTATCACAGGCTTTTGATTTGCTTACTTTTGCGGGTGTGATGATCTGTATCTTCAGTTTTACAGAGTCTTTTGGGAAGCAAGTGTATGCTCCTTAGTTCTTCCACTTTCACTTCATTGGAATTACTTAGATTATCTTCTATATACATTCGTTTGCAACTAAGATGTTGAGTGAGGCCTTAGGAACAGTTAGGAAATAATAGTATTTTTTAATGATTTTGATTTAAATTACCTAATATTTGCTTGCTTTTTAAAGAAAAAGTCTTTCTTTGAATTAATTATCTGCATTGTTTTAAACAACTGTGCATTAAATTCTACATCCTTTTTCCTTTATATTTTGACATTAAATTGAACAATGGCTCAATTTAAAATGTAATCCTTTTGGGTGAAATTTCAGAGGGTATTTTAATGATTACTAGTATTTTTTAAAAAGCAAGATTATGACTACAAACCTGATATCTGAGTAGTGTCATGAGTCATGCCAAAGTGTATTTTCTCTCTTCCTTCACTGGACATGGATAATGAAGATGCTAAATGGCTTTCCTAAAATACGTATTGGAAATTAGAAAAAATTACTGTAAGTACTCTCAGATTAACCTTTGATCATCCATGCCTTAAGCCAGTAAATCTGAAATGCTGTCAATTCTCTTTCAGATTATTTTGTTTCTATCCCTTCTTTTTCATCTTTAACACTACCACGAATGCACTTAGATTCTACGTTAATATCAATACTACACTAATAGTTTTGGTCTGTCTCTTCTAGCTGTTGAGTTTTTCCTTGTTAGTTTTTTTTGCACTTCTGTGAGTTAAGGAACAGAGAGTTACAGAAAAAGTTTAAACTCTTTGTTTCAAAACACATTTGTTCAGCTAACCTTATGTTGTACTGTTTGAATATATAGGGGTTTTTTTACCCCATAAAAACCTTTACATAGGGTACTGTTATTTTTCTACTTACTCTGTATATACCCACCCATCCACTTAGGTCTAGCTCAAATCCCATTTCTCTCCCAGGTATAAAATTGTTAATTATACAGGTTATTAAAATATTTCTTATTGATGGGCCAATGTACTTTTATGGTTACAAGAAGCTCAACTAACCAAATTGCTACATAAGCATGAAACCAGAAAGTTCCAACTATAAATATTTAAGTGAGAGGTTCAGCAGCTGTATCTAAAGTATTTAAGACATTATTATTCTCATTTTAGAAGTTTCAACTTTTTCTGTCAAAGTGATCAAGCTATTCTATATATTTTATACATCATTTTCAGGTGATAACAACTGAAAAGTACTATGATACTATAATTACAATCATAGGCTAGTAATGTGATTCTTAAAAGAATCATCCTACTTTAAGGAAAATTTGAAAACTGTAGTATCATATTACCTCTCTTTTGCTTTCCATATGATTTTCATTGATACTTGGAGATTCAATTTCCATAAACTGTTTTTCTGAGGTATAACTGCTTATATCTGAATAGCTGTTACAATTTTGCGTTTCTTGTGTAAGTACCACAGAATTTATGTTTTCTTTATTCACAACAGTATTATTCTTTCTTGGAGTATGACTGGGCTATGAATGAAGAAGTTGGAAACCCAAAGAAAGTTAAGACAACATTTTAAAGCCATGAAAAAATATTTGAACATAACAATAGGAAACATTAAGCCAAATTACTTAAATTTAGGGGGGATTATTAATTCACTGCTAAAACTGAACTCCTAATTATGATTTGTTAAAAAGCCTTTAGACCAAAACGACAGTAACTTAAAGACGAATATCTACCAAAAATTGTGGATAAAAGAATAAAGATGCCTGCTATTATAGCTTCTATATTCCAGAGGTCAAATAAAGATTGGAACAGAAAATGCAAAAACTGTCATGAGTAACTCTTTCACTGTTTATAGAGAAAATCTAAGAGAATCTGGGGAGAGAATTATGACAGAACTCAGAAAAGCTGTTGGATGAAAAATCAGTAATTTTCCCATATACCTAAGAGCAAAACAACAACAAAAAAAAACACTCCTCTGAAAATATATTTTTTAAAAAAGTGCTTTGACAAAGAAGGACATTAGATACTGGTTAATAGAACAATTCAACAGGAAGAGGTAACAGTTATAAACATATAGGTACCAAACCACAATGCACTCAACTTCGTAAAACAAACTCAAATGGACATAAAAGATCAGATAAACGTCAACAGAATTACTGTATAATGTGGGACCTCAATATCCCACTATTAGAAATAGATCAACTAAACAAAAAATAAGCAAAGAAATATGAGAGTTGAACCAAATCGTCAAAAAAAATAGACTAATAGATATATACAGAGTGTTCCACCCAACAATAATAGAATACACATTCTTTTTGGCTGCTGCACATGGCACTTTCTCCAAAATATACCATATACTAGGTTACTAAAACACGCCTAAATAAATGCAAAAGAATCAAAACGTTATCATGCATATTTTCAGTTCACAGTGCAATGCAACTAGAATTCAACAGCCAAAGAAACCACAGAAACTATGCAAATATATGGAAATATAAACAATGTACTCTTGAATAATCAATGGGTCACAGAGGAAATTAAGGAAGAAGTAAGTCAGTTCCTAGAACTAAATGATAATAGCACAACATACCAGCTACAATAAAAGCAGTCCTACAAGAGAAGAGTACAGAAGTCAATGCCCAGATCAGAAAAACAGACCAAGCCCAAATAAATAACCTAGTGATGGCTCTCAAGGTTTTAGAAAAATAAGAACAATTCAAACCCAGAGCTTGTACAAGGAAAGAAATTAAAAAGATCAGGGCAGAAATTCATGAAAGAGACTAAAAAAACAACAAAGAATCAATGAATTGAAGAGCTGGTTCTTTGAAAGAATAAATAAAATAGATAAATTCTTGGCCAATCTTACCAAAAAAGGAAAGAAAAAGACATAAATTAATTCAATTAGAAATGAGAAAGGTGAAATCACAATGGACACTGTTGAGATTCAGAAAATTATTGGCAACTACTTCACAAACACATGCCAAACAACTGGAGAACTCAGAAGAAATGGAGCAATTCCTAGATTCATATGGATTGCCAAAACTGAACCAAGAAAACTTAAAAATCTTGAACAATCCACTAACAGGCAATAAAACTGAAGCAATAACAATAATCAAAAGAAAACCTACCAAGAAAAGCCCAGGAGCTGATGAATTCACAAATTCTACAAGAACTTCAGAGAAGATTTAACACCAATACATCTCAAAATTTTTAATGAAATTGAGAGGGAAGGAGTACCTCCTAAATCATTCTCGGAAGCCAACATCCTGATCCCCAAACCAGACAAGGATCCAACCAAAAAGAGAACTATAGGCCAATCTCTCTAATGCACATAGATGCAAAAATCCTTAGCAAGACACTAGCAAACAATGCAATAAACCATAAAAAAGATCACATACCATGGTCAAATAGGCTTCATTTGAGGGATGCAAGGATGGTTCAACACATGTAAATCAATAAATGTAATTCATCACATAAAGAAAAGAGCAAAAATCACACGATCATCTCAACAGAGGCAGAAAAAGCCTTCAACAAAATCCAACATCCATTCATGATTAAAGCTCTGAAGAAAATAGGTATACAAGATCCTTATCTCAACATGATAAAAACCATTTATGACCAACCTACTGCTAACATCATATTAAATGGGGAAAAACTGAAATCCTTCCCTCTAAAATCAGGAACAAGACAAGGATGTCCATTATCAGAAATGCTGTTCAACATAACCCTTGAAACATTAGCCAGAGAAATCAGGCAAGAGAAAGAAATACTAGGGATACATATAGGAAAGGACAAAGTCAAAATATTATTTGTAGATGACATGATTCTTTACTTACAAGACCCAAAAACTTCCATCAAAAGAAATGATAACCAAATTTAGCAGTGTAGCAGGATACAAAATAAGTGCACAAAATAATAGCATTCCTATACACTAATAACTCCCCCAAAAAGAAATTGGTAAAATAATACCATTCACAATACCATAAAAATTACTTAGATATTAACTGAAGTGAAAGGCCTCTACAATGAAAATCACATCAAACTGAAAAAGAAAATTGAAGACATGAAAAAAATAAGAAATTATCTCCTGTTCCTGATTAAATCAAAATTGCTTCCAAAACTGGTATATAGATTTAATGCAATCCCAATCAAAATACCAGCATCATTTCTCACAGAGCTAGAGAAAACATTTCTAAAACTTATATGGAGTCAGAAGGACTCAGAATAGCAAAAGCAATCCTGGGTAACAAAAGCAAAGCAGGTGGCATCACAATCCCAGACCTGAAGTTATAGTATAAAGCTACAGTGATTCAAACAGCATGGTACTGGCACAAAAACAGAAACGTGGAACAGTGGAGCAGAAATGTGGATCAATGGAACAGGTATTTGATCTTTGACAAAGGAGCCCAAACATACACTGGAGGAAAGATATCCTCTTTAATAAGTGGTGCTGGGAAAACTGGCTATCTACATGGAGAAGATTGAATCTAGACCCATGTATCTCACCCTGTACTTAACTAAAATCAAAATGAATCAAAGATGTAAATATTAAAACAGAAACAATCTACTGAAGACAAAAATCAATGCAACTCTTGAAGACATAGCAAGCAAAGACTTTCTGAATAGAACCCCAGTGGCACAAAAAATAATACTGAGAATCAACAAATGGGATCATATCAAATTACAAAGCTTCAGCACAGCCAAAGTAACAACCAATAAAGTGAAGAGAGAATCTACACAATGGGAATTTTTTTTGTCAGCCATTACTTTTTAAACAAAGGACTAACAAGAATATGTAAAGAACTCTAAAAAAATTATACCTGCCCCCCAAAGACCAAATCAAAAAAATGGGCAACTGAAATGAATAGACACTTCCTAGAAGAAGTACATATGGCCAATACCTGAAAAAATGCTCATCATCACTGGCCATCAGAGAAATGCAAATTAAAAGCACACTGAGATACCATCTTACCCCAGAAAGAATGGCTATCATAAAAAAAATCTAATAATAATAAATACTGGTGAGGATATGGGGGAAAAAGACACTCTACTACATTGTTGGTGGGAATGTAAACTTGTACAGCCACCATGTAAATCAGTGTGTAGACTCCTTAAAAAACTAAAAATAGAAATTTCATTTGGCCTACCTATTCCCCTTCTAGATACCTTCTCAAAAGAGAAGGCATACATCCATATCCATGTTTATAGCAGCACAATTTATTATAGCTAAATCTTGGAAGCAGTGATATATGCATCAACTGATAGATGGTTAACGAAAATGTGGTATTTATACACAATGAAGTACTATGCTACCATAAAGATAAACTTGTGACATTCATAGTTAAATGGATGCAATTTGAGAGCATAATGCTAAGTGAAGTAAATCAGACACACAAGCTCAAATATCACGTTTTTTCTTAGAATGAGAAACACTACGCACATACATATATACATATATACACACACACGGCAAAAAGAAGAAACATAAATAGGGAGAAGTTCAAATACACCCTCACATTACAAATTCTATTGTTTTAAAAATATTTTAATATTTTGCTAATTGATTTATACTACTTTATCTTAGTTTGTTGAAAAGAAAATTTGTTATATTTATTTTTTGTAAGAATCACTTTGGTTTATGTTTTGTACTGTGTAACTATTATGAAGATAATAAAACAATGTAATAACTTGTTATTTTATTATTTGATTATGCATTTTTTTCATTAAATAAAGTGTTTTTGGTTTATTTAATGTAGTGAAAAGAAAACTCATACAATATTTTGGAAGATTTTGGTACAGCTTTGTAGGAAATATGACCAAAAAGTGGAAACAAAAATGACATGTAGATGAGAAAGAAGGTATCAGTAAGGAAACTGACAGACAAGTAGAAGGCCAAGAGAATACTGAAGTAAAAGAATGAGGGTATGTGTATGAAAGACAGAGAAAAAAATACCCTATATGTGTAAAACTATACTAATTACATTGATGTTTTATTAGCATAATGATAAATAGGTCAGTAAAACAGAGAATAGTGCCTAATACTATGGATGCTAAGACCATGACTGAATCGGGAATTTTACTCATGATGTTGAACTAATTTACTATCTATACATGTAAAGAAGCCTAGAGAGAACAACCCCCACCCCCAAACCCTAACAGTTTGACAAGGAAACTATTTTTATGAAAACAGTTTAGGAAAGGATTTTTTGAACAGTCTAAGAGGGCAAATTTTATTATATCATGTCATTCTTAATATGGAAGTTTTGGTTTTAAATACATGAAAAGATAAGTCAGATATTAGAGGACGAATGTCTGTACTGTATGTAACCAATACAGAGTTAATATCCAGCATAGATTAAGAACTCCTGTAAGTTTATAAGAAAATAAAACAATGAAATTACAAAATTAGAAAGCAAACAGGAAATTCACAAAATGGCTAAAACACACATGGAAGCATTCACTGGTGCAGTTAATCAGGAAAACCCATATTAAGGTAAGAGACAATTTCATATTTAACGGGACTGGCAAACCAGAAAACACCTGATAACACCCAATTAGCTAAAACTTCGGAGAAGGGGCACTATTACATGTCACTGTTGAAAGTATAAAGTGGCACACTGAGTTTATAAAGAAAACGTCCAATACCTTATTAAGAGTCAACAGCAGATGGAGGAAAAAAATCTCATGTGTATCTAGCAGAACATAATAACCATTAAAATTTCATCTAACACAAGGACATCAAAGAAAATGAATAAGGGCTACCTAGGTATAGACATTTGCAAGATGGGATACTGAAGGAATCAAAGGACTCAAAGAAGCTAAAGTGATCGAATAATACTTATAAAGGGCCACATGATGACTAATAGCAAAGGAGTCTTCAAATGTGGTCTGTAGAAACAGTCCTGCAAAGGTGTCCTAGGGATTATTTGGAGAGAGAGGCTAGGTAAGCTAGGGTTTAAACCTCCTTTCTCTGCTTTAAACAGCCCAGTTCCACTGATCTGTTTGACACAGTGGGAGTTTCATATAAGATTGTTTTGAAAAATATTCTCTCTGAAGGCAACTCATTTAAAAGAATAAAAAGCATGTTCAGTTCAAAGTGGTAGGTCAGAAGATTGGATGTATCAATTTTAGATTGCCACTATGGGTGTACTGAACAGTCATTTACATTTTTCTTGATTTTTTCCTTTTTTTGTGGTGCTGGGGAGTGAACCCAAAGCCTCATGCAGGTCAGGCAAGCGCTCTATCCTTAAGCTACACCCCAGGCCCTTGAATAGTCACTAATTCTCCTTTGTATATAAAGGTTATCTTATATCAAGAGAAGAAAGTATGTGAGTATTTACAAAGTATTAGGTACCATGGGCTCATCATTTATTGCCTCATTTTAAAGATGAGAAAAAATGAAGTGCAAAGAGATTCATTAACTTGTAAGATGGTACATGGCTAGCAAATAATGGAACAAGGATTTAAATCCAAATCTGACTTAAAACTCTTTCAGCTATAGCCAGTTATAGTGAACTACATAAATATCTTTGCACTCAGTTCTGTAATTCTGTCACTTCAAAATTATGCAAATTAAGCCATTTATAAAACACAAGAAGAGGAGGGTGATGGGATGGTTTATAAACTGCTATCAAGGTATCTACATCATTTTTTAAATGGCAGAACTCAAAATACAATATCACTCTTGATAAACATTAAATATTTGCTAGGGATTTAGCTCAGTGTTTCTGCCGCCTGCCTTGCAAGCGCAAGGTCCTGAGTTCAATCCCCAGTACCAAAAAAACCCCAAAACAAAAAACACTGAATATTTAACCACCTACACCTCACCTTGAGTCCTATGTTTAATATATTTTTAAAAAGACTTTTAAGCATACTCATATTTTAAAAGAAATAATGTAATCCATATTTGATAGAGAATTGCTTTTCAATATATTTAATTTTTAGTCATACTATTTACCTGTTAGTTTTAAATTTCCTTAAAAATTTAAAGCCACATTTTAACTCTACTATTTTCAAGTATATTCTCATAATTTTGTCAGTTTGTGATTTTAGTAACTAGAGGTCTGACTTTGATTTATAGTGAAATATGAAGTGCTTGTGTTGTTAGAATAAGCCCATCCAAATCTCTAAAATGTATGCAGGTTTTACATAGAGATAAACAGAACCTGTTTGGAAGTGATCATTACTATCACAGAGTATTTATTTGTCTGCTATACTGTCATGCCACTACATTCTTTTGTCTGTATAACAAGACTGTTAGGTTCCTTGAAGCTGGGTACTGGATCTTATTTGTCAGTATATCCATCTTCTTCCAGGACCCATACCAAATTCAAAACCTTATGAACATAAGCAATGCATATTTGATTAAGATTACAGGAAAATGATTTACCACTTTCAGATATATCTAATGAAGAAGAAACTGATACACATTCTTACCAAAAGCAGAGGTGGTGGAATTGGTGAGCAACTTACACTTGCACATATTAAGTTCGTCCCATTGTTTCTGGGTGAGTTTACTGGACCTCTAACTCTACTGTCACTGTTTAAAGATCTGGGTGATGAAGTTTTTGGATAAGGGGATAGAGACTTTGTTATGCAGTCATACTCCTGAGTAGAATCATTTTCTGTTATTTTGTCCACACCTACATTGCCCAAGAAAACACAAAGAAAATACATGGTGGGTGTTGATGATGATGTTTGCTTTAAAAACCTGCATGATTAAATTCTAAAAGTAAGACCATTTATCAAATTGTCAAATTTAGCTTTATTTAAAAAGATAAATTTTCAATAAATTTAGATATTTTGTTAGAAATATAAGGCTTTGAAAAATAATGGCTCAATGTAAAATTTAAAAACTTTCAAAACATTTTCAAACAAAAATATCTATACTATAGATATTATAGATAATACAGTATTATTATCTTGAATATTTTGACATTGTAGTAAATAGTGTTATATATTAAAGTCGCAGAATTTTATGATCAGAAAAAGCTTGGGGAAATCATACACTATAGGTCCTTCGTATAAAAAGGAGGAAATTCTGAAATGCTGAAGTACGTCCTGGTATAAACGCATTCTTAAACAGCGGTCAGACCAAATCAGGGAATGTACACGTCTTTTCAGAATGTGCTACCTGAAGTGACAGTGTTTCTAAGCATTATGAAAATAAAAGCACACAACAGCTACTTTAGGAAAAGCATAATCCATTAACTGATTTAAGTTTTGAATTTTAACTGAAATTATTTAACATTTAAAAATGTTTTAAAATACCTTTACGTGGAACTTAAAGTTATATAAAAGTACAAACTTATAGTGTATAACAGAAAGACATTCATATGCCTAAGCTCCAAAGAATATAAATTTTCTGTACCATTTATTTTTAAATAAATGCAAAGCTTTCATTATTTAGGGAGATAATTCACTGAGTCTTCAGAATGATCATGATATCTCTTGGATTCTTGTCAATGAATTATAAAAAGAAAAAAAACCCCAGAAATTCCTACATTTTTAAACATATTTTCACCTAGAAGTATAAAATTTAACTCTTACTGGAGCTTATAATTTGGAAATATTTAGCAAGTATTTTCCATATTGAAACATTTGATCTTCAACTTACTAGTGGAAAAAATTCAATACTCTAGTAACATTGTTTCCAAGTTAGCAATAACCAAGCTACTAGCATTAGTTTAAAAATGATGTTTTAGCCAGGGATTTAGCTCAGTGGTTGCACCACCTGCTGCACAAGCGCAAGGACCCGAGTTCGATCCCCAGTACCAAAAAAAAAAAAAAAAAACCCAACAAAAATGAAGTTTTAACCTATAATATTAAATACAATCCTCCAAATCAGTCTTCAAATTTCATTTTCACATTAGAACTAGAAGAATTATTAAAATTAGAAAATAGTTGATTATTCAAGTAATATATAAGAAAAAAAATGTTACTGACATCTCATTACTTCTATAGATGATGGACTCCCAGCTAAAGATACAGGAGATAAGTCAAGGTTATTATCATTTATAGTATCTTTTAGTAGTGATGAATTTTTCTGGATTTTTGATAGTTCTTTTTGTGTTTCAGCCAAGATGACTTTCTGTTGTTTCTTTGGTAGTTTCATGTTTTTGGTTCTGGAGTGGTTCTCCTCCTAAACATATTGATAAATTATACTTGAATACAAATACACTGAGGTACACAAACAAATTACACTGAAATATTCACTAAATATCTTATATTACTACAGTACATGCAGGCATAACAAGGCCCTAGACACTAGAAAGAGACTTTCTATTATACTAGATGGCATAAGACATCTAGTTTCACAGTAAAACATAACACACAGGCTATAATAAATATCCTAACAGATACAAATGCTATGAGAGTTCAAAGAAGATCATATCCAGTTCTGGAAAACTAAAAAGAATTTTTAGATTTAATGATACTGGAAATACTGAAAAGATTGTGAAAGAAGATGGTGAGAGGAAGACATCATGGGAATAAGGAAGACTGCTGATTAGACCAAGGGGAGTAAAAAAGCCCAGGTTTTATTTGGAAGTCCAAGACTGTAGCATTGGACTGTTACAGTTCTGGGTATACACTGGCAAACAGTGAAAATAAGCCTACTTTAGAGAGACGAGTGGTTTGGAAAGATTTTTGACTTCGTATGATAAATTAAAGAAGTGATAAGACTATGTGGAGGTAACTTAGGAAGTCCTCACAGTCTCTAGGTAAAAGATAAGGTTGCAAGCAAGAGAAAATGGAGACTTAAAATCAGTATTGCATAGCAGCCAGAAGATAGCTATCTTTAGCACCAGACCATTAAGGTTCAAATCCTATCTCTACCACTTTCTTGTTGAGTGACCTCGGGGCAAGTTCCTGCTCTTGAACTCTAATTTCTCATTTGCAAAATGAGATGACAGTAATAGCACTAATGGGCTGGGGATTTAGCTCAGTGTTTCGCGGCCTGCTACGCAAGTGCAAGGACCTGAGTTCAATCCTCAGTACCAGTAAAAAAAAACAAACCAAAACAAAACAGTAATAGCACTAATTACCTACATTACTTGTCAGATTTTAAGAAGATAAATCTATAAAGTGCTTAAGATTGCAACTGGCACATTGTAAGCATATTTTTAATTTTTTACTTAAAAAAGTCAAAGACAAGTAAGTTGGAATATGATACTCTGAGACTTAAGTCAGGGGGTAGGCAGGTTAAGAAGTATATGAGGGAATACCTGAGACATCAATATTTTTGCTTCTATTCATGAGAAAAATCCAGAGCTTTTGAAAAGCTTGAACTTTATTGAAGCATAATTTTGGAAAGATAAAGTACTTTTCTAATTCAAAGATATTAAAGTTATAGTTTTACTGGAGTTACACATCAATTTGGTAACACTGACTACCAACTTATAAAATTTAACATTGTATTGCCTTGGGATCAATTTTTAGAATTATTAGTAAAAAGTTTTCTCATACAGGTTAACTCAAAAAAATGACAAGATAAATTTAATATTTTAACAAAATATATATTTTGAATTTTAAGAGGCTTTTAGAAATTATGAATCTGAATTGGATCCTTTCTACCTTTACTAGCAATTTTTCTTTAAATGAATGTGCAGATTCTTGCTCACTCTCAGATTCTGAATTTGAGAGATCTTTATAATTTTTTTTGGTTCTTGTTGCTCTTCGTGGGAGTCTGGTTCTCCCATCTGGAACAGTCTCATCTACCTTTTTGATGATGTTTTTACTGGGTGCCTTTAGGATAAAAATTATTATTATTAGATCAGAATGTGAAATATAAGAAAATACAAGTTATTTGCTATAAAATTGGCAGTGAAAACACATACATAAAATATTTGATAGAAAGTGACTGATTAGTATTTTTAAATGATTTACCCTTTTTATTCTAATTATCTTTTCTATCATCCTTTAATCCCCACTATTGACTAAGAGGCCTGATATGTATTATCTAACTTAAGTAAAATGGAAAAAAATATTTTGAAATACACACATAAAAATACCAATAACCATAAAATAAACAAGACTCCAAGTAAGGCCAACATGATTTTAAAAAATTGGAAAGCAAGAAAAAGAGTACAATTACAGAAAATTATAGGAATAATTATAGAAAGTTAACTGATAACACAATTCTGAGATGACAAACTTTTATGTGACAAGGAGAAGTAACTTTAAAGGCATGTTTGAATACAAAATTCTTGGTTTACCATTTTAGATCTTGGTTGTCCCTTATCCAAAGATGGTCCTGCAATTCAGGAGAGGTTAAAATTTTCAAATAATAATGGGTATTAATTTTCTTAGAATATTTCAGCATATATAAACATAATACAAACAAGAATATATGTTTGTTTAAAGGCATTTGTCAGCATTCAATGACCCTCCATCCATGTGGCTTCAAGCTACCAGAACAGAGAATAGCGTCAAACTATTAATTTCTCCTCTGCTCTTCGACTGACGAATTTGGCCTTCAGGATGACAGGCTGCTTTGGGAGTTTTCCCTTCCCCTGAACTAACTTCGTATTTAGGAGCCTAATGGCACCATACTACTGATGAGAAAGAATGTTTCTTTAAATTCATCTAAAAATGTAAATCTCGAGGATAATTTACTATATAGTACTTGGTATGATATGTACTGTCAATTTCCCTTCTCCTTAATTTTATATTCTCAAACACTTTTTAAATATATAGAACCATCTGTATCACAAGTTATAAAGTTAACATCTAGAAGCTACCACTCAATTTAAGAACTAGATTCTTAATAATACTAAATAACCTATTTAGGGACATTCTCCTATACTTTCTGCCTTTGATAAAAAGTAATTAACTATTCTGAAATTTGTTTCTCATACACTTGTTCTGAATAAGGAGTTTTACTTCACAGATATGTATCCTAATTTAATTAGCTTTATAAAATAATATGTCCAGTATAGCATTCTATGGTTTACTTCGTTTTTCAAATATCACGTTTCTAAGATTTACCTGTATTATTGACAGTAGCTTTAATTCCCTTTTTTTTTAATACAGGGTCTGCATCAAACTCACTATATATCCCAGGGTGGCCTCAAACTCAAACTTCTGGAAGTGATCTTCCTGCCTCAACCTCCCAAGTGCTGAGATTATGAGCATATGTCATCACACCTGGCTTTCAAGCATAATATCATCTTTATAAATATTCTCTGAAGGCTAAGAAAGTAGATTATTCAAGCTAAGAAAGCAAAGCTTATTTGGAAGGAAGGTCTTCTAATCCCACTTTCAAACCAGCTCATACATATTAACTTGTTATTCAACGATTTAAAATACTTAATTCACATACAAGTTCATTTTTAAAATATTTACTGAATATTTTAACTTCTAATATCTCCTTGAGATTTCTAATCTACTTTCTGTTCTAATGTCTTTATTTGTACATCATCCCACTAAACTGTAAGCTCCCTGAAGACACATGAATCCTATCCCATTTCTCACTGGCTTGTAACACACTACTTCAGAGTCCAAACTCTATAACCAGATTCAGACTCAATTTTCACTATTTGCCCATAAATAAAATCTAAATTCCAACTAACCCAATTTTCCATTACCTGAATATACTATGCTATGTCATAATCTGTCTCTTTTATATATGATAATTCTGCTCCATTTTCCCTATGCATCTAACTAGACTCTCACCTGTTTTCAAGAAGTAACGTCATTTATAAACACAGGTCAAAATTCACTTCTGTCTCTTTTACTTATAAGCTATACCACCTCTACCCTCACACTATACACAGAGAAAAATCTTAAAGTAAAAGCAGATTCTCTTACATATAAATTTAACTGAAGAGTTACTTTGTATTGTTTTAAAAATGGAATAAAGTCAGTGTTTTAGCAAATACTGACACTGATATTGTTATACAAGTGGTAATTATCTTTAGCCAAACTCTATGCCTCAAACTCTTATTCAACTACTTCAAAAGATTCACTATCACAAAAAGAAAGCAGAAGGCATATTATAGGACAATCCTTTGTCAAAGATTTAATCAAAGTTTTTCCTGCAAATAATTGTTCTCCTTTCAATATATTTTTATTGCATCTAAATTAATTCCTAAAAAGTATGTGTAGTGGGTCCAGCAAGGTGATGGAATGCTGAAGAGGAACATATAACCTATAAAATATATATGCATGTATATAAGTACATATGTCTGTGTGCATATTTATACAAATGTAAGTAACAGTAAATAGATGAAGGTCAGTGTTAGGGACCAAGCTTTGGTTTAAGAAAGTTGAGTTAGTGAGCACTCAGTATACTATTTAAAATAACAGATTAGCTAAATAACTGAATAATAGTGAGCCATGAGCAGACAAGTGAAGATATTGTCATGTTTAAAGGACTATAGTAAATCATATTTGTGTCTGGAGAAAGAAAAATATAACCATACTACCAAAACACTACAAAAACATAACCACTATAGTGTTTTGTCCTATTCATAAGCAAATGTTGCTATAAATAGTCTACATACAAAAATGTACTTCTCAACCAATAGAGCATTTTATATAATTGAAATGGTGAAATTATTTGCAACATTTCTCTAAAAAGTATTTTCTTACTTGATCTCCTACTTTTATATTTCTTCACATTTTTATTTCTGCTATAGTCAATCAGCTGTGGTTTCGACTTTGTTTCTCTTAGCCAGCTAACATCAGTCTTGCTGTCATCACATTTATATTCCGTCTCGGTATCACTAAAGATCTTCTTTTTCTGATTTGCTATAATCTATAAAGAAAAAAAAGCCTTGAAACAGATGAAGAAATTTGTCTTATTATATATCATGCAAGGTTAAGGTAAGCCACCAACAATGATGACGATGACAACGCCAAATAGAAAAACTAACTTTTCATTTTTTAACATACTAATCTATTAAGGAATTAAGGACTTATCCAAGAAAGTCACTCAGAAATACAGATCAGGGTAGCAAGATTTATTTTTTGATGTTGCTAGTGAAAACTTAAAAGTTTATTTCCATAGAGCTATAACCTAATAAAGTTGTAATATTTTTCTATTACTAGATGATTACAAATAGCTCAAAGACCGTATTAAGTCGTAATGTAAACATGGATCTCATAGAAATTAAAAATCAAAGTATTTTTTATTTTCTAATTATTTTTTATTTTCTAATTTTTTGATAATCTTTAGCATTAAAGACATTAATATAAATGTTTTTAATAGAACATATTAGTGTATTATAACTTACCCTTTTATCTTTCCTTTTGAAAGGTGGTTCAAGTTCATCATGATTCCTTAAATCTACCCTTAAGTAAAAATATGTATTAATTTAAAAATATCTATTAAGACACTATGCACTGGACAATTAGATCAGAGTTTTCAGCTTTAACAAACTAATTAGCTGTACTGTATATGTAATTCTGGCCAGGTCACTTATTCTCCCTGACTCAAGTTATAAAATAATGAGGCTATTAAAGGACTATTAAATCTTTTAGCTGTATAATCTAAGATATATAACTAATATTTGCAAATTAATTTTTAAAGAGAATGCTGAAGTAACAATCATAATGGGAGTAATTATTACAGTAGTCTTTTTTATTCATTTGTATGTTAATAATTCCCAGAAAGATAGACTGGGGGAGGTATTATTTATATGGAGCTATGTTTTAACCTAACTAATTATAATAAAACACGTACAGTTTCACTGAATTATCCATGCAGGGTTCTCTAGCTGTTTCTTGAAATTCTTGGATCTATATGGTGGATAAATATTTTTTTAAAGTTATGTCAAAAGAAGTCAAACAAAAATCAAGGACATAAACATAAAACCTAGTTTCTATCACATCACAGAATGATACAATTTAGCAACAGAATCAAGTTTACTATAATATTTTTAAGATGAAATCTAACAAAATATAATATAATAAAAGCAAAACAAAAGAGTGTTTTAAATCCACTAATTGATAGGAAAGAAATGATCTTGACTGAGTTAAGTCTAAGTATTTCCCATCTTCCAGATTTTAACTTTTCTCTATTATACTAAAAGATTAAAAATAAAACAACACAAAAACCTATATACTCCTGGGCTGGTTACCCAAATAAACTATTATGTACTGTAAAAATTTTGAAGTTTGTCTATAAGATGTGCATCAAAAAATACTCATAACTGTATAGTAAATCTAAAATACTGAATAACTATACACAAAATAATTATTGATTTCTAGCTTACTCCAAGTTTTATAATAGGCTCATCAGCTCCACTCAAATTAAAATTGTAGACATCATTCCTGTGAAAATGAAGACAAGTATTAGTTGTATTGTACAATAAATATATTTTCTTCAAATATGAATTAAACAATTTATGAAAAATTACTTACAATGGGCATTCAGAAGTAACATTACCCAAAGTAGTCTTCAGCTTTCTGTAACTTTTTTTCTGAATTTTTTCCTAAATACAAGAGGATTACATGCTAGCATTTAAACCTGGACATTATAGTCTGTATAAACAAATCACATATGCAATTAAATTTTCATATATTTTCCAATTGTACATCCACTAATATATGGCTGGTACTTTTAACATTTTCCTTAATGTAAACTGAATTAAAAAATATACTCAAACGAAATGAAATCACTTTATAAAGCTGTATGGACTCGCATGCTCATTGCGGCATTGGTTGTAATATACAAGACATAAAAGGAATCTAAGTTTTGACAGATGAATAAAGAAACTGTGACAAACACACACACACACACACACACACACACAAATAGTATTCAACTTAAGAAACAGAAATAGATCCTGCCATTTCCCACTGTAAGGGTCCACGATATTATGTTACATGAAACAAGCCTGATGTAAAAAAGAAAAATACTGCATGATCTCACATGAGAATTCTAATAAAATGTTGAGTTCCTAGAGAGTTGAATGGTGATTACAACAGTGGAGCAAGGGGAAGGAGAATGGGGGAGAGGTTGGTCAAAGGATACAAAAATGACAAATATGTAGAATGAATAAATTTGGACTACAGATTTAATATAGAACATGAGTAATACGGTTAATGAAAATAATTGTATTAAGGTATTTTCTAAGATAGTAGATTTTAGGTGCTTTTATAAGACACACAGAAAGGGTAGCTATGTGAAATAATGGATATGCTAATTTACTTAACACTGTAGTAACCATTTCATTATGTAAAATCACGTTATACATCCCTTAAATATATACAATAAAAATATCAAGCATCCACACCTTAAAAAATATTGAAGACAAATACATGTACTAACTAAAAACAGAAAGTATTATAAATCTAATATAAAATCCTTATATCTTAAAAATTTGCTGATCGCACTACTATTCTATAAGTTACATTTTAGTGATTCTAGAATCAGAAAATAAACATGTTTCTATTTTGTTTCAGATTCTGATTTGCTTTACACTCTTAAATAGAAAGCTCTGAGAAAGGTTAAGGTTTATGTAAAATTCATGTGAAAGAAAATTCATGTTATGAAAAAACAGCATTTTTAGTGGCAACTATTTACAACATTATTCACAGAGTCCACAAGTCAAAATATATTCAACCAGATCAAGTAGAAAATACATAAAATAATTAATACTAGTACTGTTTTATTAAATACATTAACTATGATTAGATACATAAATAATTAACATCACTACATTATTAATTATTGGTCAAAAATAAACAGAAGATGAATATCCAGCAAATTAAAAACATTCAAACCTAAAATATTCATCTTCAATTTGAAATGCTGGCAATTTTATATAGAATTACCTATACTGTTCTAAAAAGTATACCCCCAATATGGTAACCCTCTGATCACTTACCTATCTTATTGTTGTAGCTTACATCTAGATGTCCCCCAACAACCTCATGTGTGCATAGGTGGAGCTTTTGGAGGGTGACAGGATTATAGGGTCTTATAGCTGACTTGCTGTTAGGAGGTGGGGTCTGGATGGAAGAGGTGGGTCACTGAGGCCATAGCCTGGAAGGGCATATCTCCCTTGCCTGGCTCCTCCCTTCTCTCTTTTCCTGGATGTTATGAGATGGGCAGCTATTCCTCTCCCATGCCCCTGCACCATGCTGTCCTCCCTTAGACTCAGCCAACTATGGACTGAAATGTGAGCTAAAGTAAACCTCTCTTCTGTTAATTTGTGGGTATTAGGGACTGTGCCTCAGCAATGAGAAAGTGACCGAGACACCCTTTCCAATATTATTTTTCATAGCATTCAGATATAGATACTCACTCATCATTTGTATGCCAGTATATACTAGGAGTTATAGGAAGTACAAAAATAACATTAAACAAAAAATGCAAATATGAGTAACACTATTACAGAGGATATAAAGGTGAGCAAATGTGCTGAAGAAGATACAAAGAAAACATGGCATACTTGTCTTTCTAAGTCTGGCTTATTTTGCTTAACATGATGATTTCTAGTTCTATCAGCCTGACATGAAAGTAAAAGGGGGAATTATTTGGAATAGGAGTCAGGGATAGAGAAAGGTACAAGAGAAAAGGCAAAGTGGATATGATTTAAAGCACGTTATATCCACATATGAAAATGTCACAATAAAACCCATTACCTTGTAGTTAATACATGCTAATAATCATAATTTAAAAAATTTTTAAAACATCCAAATAAAGGTACAAAGAAACTTCCAAACATTTACACTGTAGTAAGACATGAAAATAAAAAATACTTGCAATAATGCCTATTTTTAAAATGCATAAAGTATTACACAGTTTCAGAATCCTTGCCTTTTTTTAAAAGGAAGGGCACCTTGGGCCAGGGATTGAGCTCAGTGGTTTCGCCGCCTGCTGTCCAAGTGCAAGGACCTGAGTTCGATCCCCAGTACCAAAAAAAAATAAAAAAAATAAAAAATAAAAGTAAGGGCACCTTGGAACATTTTTATGAAGAAGACAGATGCCAAGCAAGGTTTGTAAGGAAGCGTAAGATCTTGGTAATCAGAAACAAAGGTGAAAGAGCCTTCAGTTTGAAAGTTCTTTCCAAAGGGAGAGAAAGATAATAAATGAATACTTAGGGAAGACACTCAGAGAAACTCAAATTATCCTATTTCTGCCAAACAGAATATGTCTAGAAACCTAATATTAAAAAATAACACAATCTTTTAAAGGACTAGTGAGCCATTCTACAGCTCCATTTAATTCATTTAACAGCAGGGATAAAAGATGGTTTCTGAACAAGAACAAGACATGACTGAAGTTGTGTGCTTTAAAAATAAAACAAACTAGTGTTGAATATAATCAATGGACTTTCACAGAGACATAAATATAGGTAAAAAGAATTACATAAAGACTGATGTAACATCTAGGGATTAGAAGTTAGAACTGAAAATAAGTAACAGGATTTGGCCTCACCATAAAAAGAGATTCAAGAGGAAGGTGCTGAGGGTTAAACTCAAAACTTGGTAAATTAAATGGGCACAGAAAGTAATTTTAAGTAATAAAGATAATTATTATTTCAAGCTTTGATGAATGATAAATGTTTCTAACAATACTAGGACTCCAGAAAGATGTAACGGTCAGGGAAGCTGGGATTAACCATCAGAAAACATAATGATAAGGATATAATGAATAATGTACAAAGAAAATAAAACTATTGGACTTATATAAAAGCAGCATTTTCTTTGAAAAACAGAACAGAAAGTTATGGAGCTATTTTAAGTATCTTGCACTAAACATGTCAGTTGTCATATCCACTTAGTAATGGTCTGAAAACCTTAAATATGACATATTCTACTATTTTATCTTACTACTATTTTAGTATTTATAGTCAAATACCATGAAATTTAATTTTAAGTTTGGTAGTTAAATAATCAACACCTACCTTACTGAGTTGTAGGTCAGACTTGTTTAAAAAAACACTACAAAAAAGATTTTCACAATTTTTAAAGGGCCATTAAATATCAGTAGAATATTTTTCATAAAAGCCATTTTTGTATGGAAAAAAACATATCTGAGTCACTAAATCTATATCCAACATTCTATAAATAGCCAAAATATGACAGCCTAATTGTGATATTTTTGTAGTTTTGCTCTCAGTAGAAAGCAACTATAATACTTAATTCTAAGCTGGATCATTATTGTAGCAGGAAGGAAGTAACAATTTAAAATGAATGGTTCTGTCATGAAAGTCATTTCATCATACCATTATATTAAAGTGCTAATTTAAACTTGAATTAATAACATGATGGTCAATGAGATGTTCTATAATAAAATAATTAACTTTCAGAAATTTCAAACAAGGAATATTTTACTTATTACATAAAAATAACTCCTGTCACTTCATTTAAACAACATATTCCATTAAGCAATATATTTAAATGTATTGCTAATGGATTCCATAAATACAATTCTAAGACGTCTATCTTCTAAAAATTTATTTCTGAAATGATATACAATATTAATGTAGTGTTTCTGATACTTTATAAAATCTAACCAGACACTAGAATGGCATATTTCAAATTTATTTCCTTTCTACATAAACAGTTACTATACATAAAAGTAATAAATAACTAGGAAGTTTTTACTGGAAAATTATATTATGTTAATGTATACTTGAAACTTACCTTTTAAAAACTGTGTAAAATAATTTACCTGCATTTGTCAGAAAAATATTTGCCTAAAATTTATGAACATACCTGTCAATCGAAGACTCCTTCAATTTTCTCGTTGGCTTTATGTCATCTTTTGGTTTGTATCTCTTATTAATTTGGTTTATCAAGGATTCTGCTGCATCAGTAAACCCCTTCCCTTTTGACTTCTCTCTCTGAAACAATTTAGAAGTTACTTTAAAACTCCACCAGTTGGGGCCGGGGATTTAACTCAGTGGTTTCGCTGCCTGCTGCGCAAGGGCAAGGACTCAAGTTCTACCCCCGGTACCAAAAAAAAAAAAACTCCACCAGTTAGGGCCGGGGATTTAGCTCCATGGTTTCGCCGCCTGCTGCACAAGTGCAAGGACCTGAGTTCGAACCCCGGTACAAAAAAAAAAAAACCTCCACCAGTTAGCTTCCAAAGGAAAATAAAGGTGAGAAGAATATTTAGAAATAAAACAAGTTCTAGGGAGGAGAAGGGGAAAGTAAAAAGAAATCAATCTTCAATAGGTGTATGTACCAATTCTCTATGGTGAATGTACCTATTATGTATTGCAAACATATACTAACTATAATCACTTCTCGGCCTTTTGGCTAAGATCAAGTGTATACTAACTATAAAAGGAAGGAAAAAAAGAAATAAAAGGGGTCAGAAATTATTTAACAAGTTTGGGTGCTGTAAATCATTAAGGCACTCAAAACAGTCTTAACATGTAGAACTGTGCAGAGTAGTCTGTAGACTAGTACATGTCATGTCAACAGACATAAGAATAAAGGAAAAACGGCCAGTTCTCTGAAAATACCAATTGAGCTGATAAACCTCTAGCCATGTTAACTAAGAAAGACAGAAAAAGAGAAATTACTATTATCAATATTGAAAGATTGTGTGTACTTTAAAAGGATAAAAAAGGAATATTATGAACCCCATGTCCACACATTTGATAACCTAGAATAAACGTACCAATCTTTGAAAGATACAATTTACCAAAACTCATACAAGGAGAAACTGATCATCTGAATATGCCTCTATGTACTAAAGAAATTTAATCTTTCTTCTTGAGATTGATCAGCTAATCTCTCTAAGACAGTTTTAACTACTGTGCATCATAGTTGCACCAAATTTTAGTTTTTTTAAAAGCTATCTTTTTTGCTATAAAGATGTAGATTAAGAAAAATTTTCCCTCAGCTCCAAAAAATTTAGTAAGAATACATTTCTATTGCCAATAATACAATCTACTTTTTTGCTATTCCTAAAATAGTCTAGGTTTTATAGGCTTTTATTCATCTTGTGAAATTCTATTCATTCCTACAAACCAAATTTCTAGAATCAGTTTAAATGTTCATACCTCAGGGTATCTGAATGTGCAAATGATATTTAATAGATAACTCACAATTATTGCATATAATTCAATTTCATTTATCATGATAATCTCCTTTAAATTTTTTTTTAACCTACAACTCACTTTTATGACTAATTTGGCTGTTTTCTTTTATAGTCATATCCTTTTGGATCCTGTTTTTCTTAATGCCTTATATGCTGTTTTATTCTTTTTCAACTCTCAACTGCTATGTAGTTCCCTCAGTCCCAGGAAAAGTAAGGTTCTTCTTGTTCAAACACAGATCTATCCTTAAATTTTAAACTTTTTTGGGTGGAGCAGGAGGGTTAGAATCATTTCACAGAATTTTACTAAGCTAGTCATTCCTTTGCTTTTCCCCCGGAAGCAAAGAGATCTGGTTGATTGTCTCTTCTAAGCTGTCCATGGAACTGGCAGGAAACACTGTATAATGATACAAGATGTAACTCTATTAGGGAATGAAGAGAACTTCTGAAAACAGGACGATGAGTTATAAAACAAAAAAGATAGCTTTTACAAAAACTAGAATTTTATTTGACTATGATGCACAATAGTTAAAACTGTCTGGAGAGATTAGATAATCAATCTCAAGTTTGGTTCTCCAATAAGGATGAGCAACAGTTATAGAAGTCAGTTTTTTCTAATTCATTTAAATCATTTCCTGTAAAACCTTGTCAAGGTTTAACGCATCACCTAAGAAATGTATGACATGCTATTATATGCAAAGCTGTGCTAGGACATGCAGGAAAACAAATGTAGAAAAAATAGCCTTTTCCCTATAAGAGGATTGCAGTCACAGAGGAAAAATACATAAAAATAACCATTTATAAAAAAGGAAAGTAAGTCCAGGGATCTAGCACAGTGGTAGTGCCGCCTGCCTTGCAAGCGCAAGGTCCCTAGTTCAATCCCCAGTACCAAAAAAAAAAAAAAAAAGGAAGGTAAGAACTATGAGAAGCAGAAACAGTTCAATATGCTTGTACAAAAGAAAAGAATGGGAGGAACACCACCACACCACAAAAGAGAAACTTTTGAGTTCACTTATTCTATACACACTTACATCCCTGACAGATGCCAAGGACAATACTATTAGTGCTGGGATTGCAGAGGTGAAGGAAGAGTTTAAGGAGGAACTCACTCTCAGCATCTAGGCACTGAATTAAAGAACAAGGTATTAAACACGCCAAATTTGCAGTAGTAAGCTTCTTTCACTTTGCTAGGTTATCTAGTAGGCATGTTATAAATAGGCAGAAATAAAAACACTAAAAGCTCACCATTTTTTGTTTCAAATCTGAGGAATCAAGTTCAGAAGTCACTTCTCCCTCTGATTTTCTCTGACTTCTCATATTTTTTCTAGAAGGGCTTCTATCACAAATAGCAGCATTCATATCTTTTGACAATATGTATTTCTTACTATAGATCAGAGATTCTTCAACTGTCTTATTTAGGAGAACTGATTTAAAAGTAGTTTCAGATTCAACATGCCAATCACTCTGCTTGGTATTTTCAGTATTTTTCTGCACTGAATATTTAGGATGATTTTGTTGTTGACTGTTTCTTTTGCAAACTTCCGATTTATCTATTTTGTTACGTTCCACTATTTCTTTCTTATATTTTCCCTTTCCTGTTTCTTCAGAATCATAATCTGATATTGAAGAGGATGATTTTTGTTTAGTATGTTTTTTATTGATACCAATACCTAGGGGGAGAATGAGAAATTAACTCTTATAAATGAATAAATTTATAATATCTAAAACTGATAAAAACCAAAAACATTTGCTAGACACTTGAGAAAAATTATTTCCCTGAAATACTATTGAATACAGACAAAAATATGTTGCACCTTGATTAAATGTGTCTCCTGATGAAGTACTGGTTCTTTGGTTATTACACAGTTTAATAGTTGACACAGGTGTCCAACAAGCCCATTTGGAGTGGATTTTATTTTCACAGTTATTGTCTAAAACACAAGGAAATCTAGAAAATAAATTAATTTTCTTATTATATTATAAAACATATGCTGATAACTTTAAAGCTAGATATTTTAGACAATGTTTCTTGAAAACAACCTGTAAACAGTAAACCATGGCAATATTTTCATGTCATGAGTACAATTAAAATTTATAATATGACTGATTGGATTAAAAATACTAGAAAAATGTACCATTATGGTGACCACATTTATGTCTATTTAAATATACCCTACCTTACCTGTTCTAAATATTCTATTGTGAATTTAAAGTTTTCACAATAATACTTCATTAATTTAAAAAGTTTCATTCATTTAAAGTTTCTTAACTGGAAAAGATTTGGCTGATACGGAAAAAACTATAGATTATTCCCCATATGCTAGTCATAATAATACATCAAAGAGGATTAATGCTATAATGAATACTACATTCAAATCTATTATATCCATCTAAAAATACTATTTGCTAAATAATTTGATATATTTTCTCATACTTACCCAGGCTTATCTATTTCTCCCTCTGCTTTTGTATCAGGACCAAAATCCTGGAGTTCATCTAAATCAAACAAAAATCATGCTATTTTCAGTTTTTCGAGCATTTGACAGAGTAAGAGTACTAATGGGGGTTAGTATAGAATTCTATAAAAGTTCACATATTGGGATGAAGAGATTGATTGATCCTGCCCCCTCAAACCTGAATTTATCGGGAAGAGATTATACTGTCTTTCTTTGTAACCTCAAAAGTTCCCTGCACAAAGCCAAACATATCCATTATAAAATGTTTATTTTCAAATCAGTGAAAGTGGAGGGGCTGAAGGGAAGAGTAGAGAGAAGTATTCTATATATACATTTTAAAGTGACTAAACCCAAAATGTACTTACTTAAATTTTGGTTTTGGAATCCAATGTCCTTATTTTGTGTCTCTTCTACAACTTTAGCAGTTTTGTTATGCTATAGAAACACAGGAAACATATTAATATTAATTTTAATCAAGGCATTACATGAAAATAACTTTTAAAAGTTTTTAATATTTGAAAAAAATAAGTTTTCTTTGCTATGAAAATTAGATAGTATTTGTATTTCAAAAACACTATGCCCTTTTCAGAATATTGCCTATCCTGAAACACAGAAGAGGAAAAAGATTCTTCAAATTTCCTAATCTCATCCATAGCTAGACCAATATTAATAATTCAATGTTCATCTGTTATTGGTCATTTCTAAAACTTCCAGGGAACATTACTTATTGCTTTCATAGCCCGCATCTCTTTCTGGTTAAATAAAGTACACAGAAGAATTGGAAATCATGAAGTATTAAATTGTGTTTAAATGTTTGGTCATTGTCCAAGTAACCTCTTGCCTACAGCAAGCTTCTCTTTCCACAGCCACAGATTCACACTGAACCTAGATCAAATTAAAATCTGCTATCACCATCAGAAAATATAATGGTTGGCCCAAAATATTTTACTTCATCTTAACTGTCTTTCCTACTTAATCTAGTCAGTGGATCTCTACACTGAGAGAGGAGCAGTTACAGAAATATGCCAGTGTGCTTCTTTTTTCGTTTTTTTGTTTTTGGTACCAGGGATCGAACTCAGGTTCTTGCGCTTGCGAGGCAGGAGGTGGAACCACTGAGCTAAATCCCCAGCCCGCCAGCGTGCTTTTTTGCTGTCACAATGACAGAATGGTTCTATGGACAATACTAGCTAGGATGCTCATCATTTTATAATATTCAGGACCTGCCACACAACTAAAAAGAGTGCCTTTATTAAGAAACACTCATGCAGGCCAGGGATTTAGTTCAGTGGTTCCACTGCCTGCCTCACAAGCGCAAGGTCCCGAGTTCGATCCCTAGTATCAAAAAAAACAAAAACAAAAAAACAAAAAACTTTCATGCAAAAAACTAAAAGCAGTACCTTGACTACTTTTTGTAATATCTTCAATTTGCCAACCTTATCTTCTTTCATATATATCCCTTTACATTTTAAAAGGGCAGCAGCATTTGGCTTTTGAACTTTTACCCCAAGACTATACCTTGAGAAAATGGCACATACTTATGAACTAATGTGATAAAATTCAGTCTTAAATTCAAAGTGAACCTTCAACATTGTCTAATATTTGTAGTTCTCAGGCTCCTCCTTTCCCTCTCACTACATGTCCTTAGTCCCTGCTTAAATGGATCCCCATGAGAAATTCACCATCTTCACAATCTTTTTCTTATCCATTCTTTTCTGTCCCTTCAATTACCTAGAATGAATACTTTTCTCCTCAAGATCCATTTGACTAGCCTTTATTTATCCTTCAAAAGTTAATTCACCCTCCATATCTCCTTAAAAAGCCTCTCCTGATCTTCGTCTTCTCCTCCAGCTATATATAAGGTTAGGCACTTGCCTCTTTATTAGGTCCTTACTGCATGCTATTTACACATCTGAGAAAGCTTACACATGGTGTGATTATCTTACTGTCTAATCCCATACTAGACTTTGAGATACTTAAAGACAAAGTGCATTTGGATCTCACAATTCTGTGTCTACCAGAGTTTTCCTCATAGGACATAATTAATTGTATAATTAAAGAATGATAGTAAAGTCCATTCTCCTACCAAATGTTGAAACTGGAGTGTTAATGATGGATGTTCATACATTTTATTGTAATTACAATAAACAAGTCATATGCCAGCAGGAGCCTACTTTCAAGGACAATAAATGAAATCTGGAAAAAATGTGACTTTGTAAACAAATATAGTTTTGTAAACTTAAATGCTTGCAAAACATCTCAGTAACTTGAAAATGATTTATTTTTAAGATATTTTCAAAGTATAGTTACTTTATCTGTATTAGCTCTTCTGCTTCTTTCTTCAGATGGTCTAGATTTACATGATACAGCATTATCCATTCCATTTTCTAATGTTTTAGAAATATCAACTTTTTCTGCAGAACTCATCATTTGGAGTGGTGGTTTAATTCTTCTTCGTTGAGTTGCTAAAAGGATAACATAGAATGACTAGATTTTTCTTTTCTATTATTACTGAAACCCATTTCAGACTTTAAAGGTAAGTTAGAGAGGTTCTAGGATGGTTCTAAGGTTTTCAGCTTAGATGAAAAAATAGACATGGATGATGTTTACAAAGAAAAAAGAAAGAAAAATCATCAGAAAAGGTAGGACAATGTATTCAATATTGGTCTTATTAAATGCGAGGAACCTGTCATACATTTGGCAACCGGATTTTTGGAATAGAAGGTAAACATTAAACTGTCATAAAGACAAAGATTTTATTAAAGAAACTAGTATATAGCATCATCTTTCCCTTTCATTTAACTCTATGTGCCAGGAATTGTTATGTTTCACAAAGATTTGTTGTTGAATGACTTTTTTTAATTTAATCCTCTAAACTTGATGAGACAGATACCTTAGTTCATATGACATAAAAAAATAGTTCTAGGGGCCGGGGATTTAGCTCAGTGGTTTCGCTGCCTTCTGCGCAAGCACAAGGACCCGAGTTCGATCCCCGGTTCCCAAAAAAAAAAAAAAAAATTGTTCTAATGTTAGCTAGAGGATAATTTGTACAAAGTGCAATCTGGGAATGAGGAACTAAGACCGAGCAGTCTGATCACTTCAGTGCTTTAATCCCTCTGTTGTGTTGTCTCCTGTTAAATTATTAATGCTGGATATTACTATTTTGAAAACTGTTTACATTTAACTCTCATTTCATCTTTCTCCTTAAAAAGACTTGTGGTTCATCAATTTTTATAACTCTGAGTTATCCTGTCGGTGAAGTTATATCCAGAATATCCCTGAGTTAAAAATGCCTTCTTTAAAATACAATACTTGTTAAAAGTCATTTAAGATTATAAAACTTACATGTGTTGATTAAAAGTACTGGACTTCTCACAGTGTATCTATCTGCACCAGGAACAATCATTGATGCTTCAGACATTTTTCTTTTGCTAGGAGTATTTATCTTAAATTGTGAGAAACAACCACAGTAAATACACATTCTCTTTTAAAACTAAAAATCCTGCAATTTTATTCAGAACATTGTGCCTTGCCTATATGCAAAAGATATTTTTTTTTTCAAATTAACAACACAATATCTAGAAATGTCCATGTTTCAGGCTAATTTGAAGAGCTTTATCCTCATGTTTGGCACTGAATAAAACAAGTAAGAAATTTTGTTTTAAGAATATTTATAGAATACGTAATGCAATACAGTAACTTTACTGCTGCTTTAAAGAATATTCATAGCATATCCAGACCTAAACAATTCAGTAACTTTATTTGGTGTTTTGAGACAGAGTCTTGCAATGTATTTCAGGCTGGCCTAGAACTCACTATGTAGCCCAGGCTGGTCTCAAACCTGCAGTAATCTACCTGCCTCAGGCTCCCAAGTGCTGTGATTACAGGCATGCACCACCACACATAGCTGATATAGTAATTTTAAATGTAAACATCAATTATTTTATTAATAAGTTTAGCTAATGACTTGCAATATTCTAGTCTATTATGAAGATATTTGCATATACAGTTATGTAAAATCATTTGAATACTTTCATAATGTTAATCATTCTTGAAAACATTCATACATCTTTGAAAACTGAATAATCTATGTAGACTAAACTGCCTTTGGAGTAAAGCAGTCACAGGAATTCAGAGATTCAGTGGCACAAAGCTACTGGTTCCAATAAACATTTATATTTTTCCACATCATCCCAGAGTAATATGTGAGAGTAACAAAAGTAGGTAAGTAAAAGTAAGGACTATAAAGTATAGGAGTTTCAGAGAGTGTCATACAAACAAGTAGACGGTGACATACTATGTACAGTAGAGGCCCAGGAGAGCTGTTTTGTTTGTTTTTGTTTTTAAGGATCTGCCCTTAAGTCAGAGGGAAAAAATGACAAGAGCTGTGAACAGCTATCTATTGGGGTATAGGAGATGGGTGGTGAGTATAAGAAGATAAGGTAATTTTAAAATTCATGAGAACCAGTATATTCTTCTTCAAATACAATTCTTAGTGTAATAGTTAATGGTACCTGAAAAGTTATTCATATAAATGCCTCTGTTAATCCTTATTGAAAACACAGTAGGCATTTAACAATAGTGTGTTTTCCCAATTTTGGTGTCCTTTAAGACCTTTCCCACAGGTTGTGATTTGACAGATTTAAAGTGAGATCTAATAAGACCATTTTTTCTTTTTTTTTTTGGTACCAGGGATCGATCTCGGGTCCTTGCACTTGCACAGCAGGTGGCGAAACCACTGAGCTAAATCCCCGGCACCCAGCATGATTCTGATATAGACAACAAAGGAAAGAAGGGAAAGGAAAAATTACGAGAAAAGGAAAAAATAGAAACAAAGTCTTTGTAAATAGGGAAGGGAGGACAGGAATGGGGAAAATATAAGAACCAAGATACATTAGGCACAGGTACAAGTACCCAATGATAAATGTAAATGTACTGTATATTTAAAATGTACCAGTAAAAGAATTTAAGGGAAAAAAAGGGCAAATGAGCAAACACACACAAACACACACACACACACACACACACACACGCACACACACAAACCAGAAAAACAAAGTTAGTTTTTATGATCTAATTGTCTAGAGGAAATGAAATGTGATAATTTCAATTTAATTAAAGACATAAGACTAAAGGAGAAAATACTGAGTAACAGAAAACATGCCAAAATATATGATGATACTGACAGCTTCCTAAAGGTGAGAATAGTTAAAAATCTAAATAATTAGGAAAAGTTCCATGAACAAAGGACTATGACTTGAGACTTGGAAGTGTTAAGTATGTTTTATGTGAGCAAAGGTTAAAAAAAAAAGGAACAATGTGAATGAAAGTCTAAAGGCAAGAATGAGAATAGCATATGAAGAGACAGTAAAGCAAATGACTTTCCTACAGATACTAAAATTTTAAATAGAATGAGTAAAATTTAAAAACAGAGTTAAAACTTATTAAGTCAGTGGGATAAACACAGAGATCATAAAGCTAAGAGGAAAATAATGCTCTCAGAATACTGATATTTCAGAAATCACTAGCCTTCCAGAGGTAGCTCAGAGGATGAAGCAATCATGTCAAAGACCAATTCAGCAGCTACTATATTAACCTAGGTGTGCTGAGATGAAAAATGGAAGAATAAGGAAGAAAATATGAGAAACACTATGAAAGGGCAGGCTTTAGCTTGTTAGTTCTAGATATGGGGAAAGAAGAGGCTGGTATCAATGATATCAGAAAAATTAATAGTAGTAAGTAGAGATGTGGATACAGAACTCTGAAGACAAGTCTGGTACACTTAAAATGATAAAGGTAATGGTAAATTAAAATAAGTTCAAATCATGCACATTAAAGAATTTTTGCAAGGAAGAACACACGGAGATTTTCACAAGGTTTGGTATAAAGCTTACAGCAAACCTCCAAAGTGAAGAGAGAAAGTATCTCTGATGTAGTAACAGAAGTAGGAAGTAAATCAGGGTACTTAAAAAAAGCTGAAGAAGGAGAGGACCTTAAGGGCTTTCAGTAATGTCAAAAGTCCCAGAAAGAATGGAAAAGAAAGCCAAGATCTGATTCTACTGGATGTGGCCCAGACAAAGTTTTCAATGAGGAAGAAGAAAAAGAGTAAGAAAAACTTAATTCATACTTTCTTTCCTCATACAGATAAAAAGTGCATAATAAATTTATGTTACACATTATAGCAAAAGCAAAGAGAAAACAGAAAGGGTAAATGGAAAAAAATGGTAGCTAGTCATAATATTATCTCTAATTTGGAATGTATGAGCATAAAGTGTAGTATACCTTGTCTTAATTCCTAACCCCTGCTAAAATAGTACCTTCTGATGACTGTATTTTAAAAGGTAGGTGATAAACTTAAGTAAGATTGATCAGGACCATTAATATATAAATTCTATGCTTTTTCTATACTTAGCAATGATTATAAATAACTATTTTGATACATATTTACCTCGGGCTGACAATTTTTTCTGTCCCCTCGGTTACGGATACATTTTGGAGGGTTAGCAAATTCCTCTGGGGGGTGAGATTTTTCTTTTAAACTAATGAGTTCTTCTTCAACGTTTGAGAACTGACTTTCTGGCACGAGAATCTGTTGGAGAATGCAGAAAGAACTATTTTTACAAGTGCAAACTATAGAAGTTCTCAAAAACTACTGAATGCCTTAAGGAAGCTCCCATTCATCTACATTTATAAATATCAACTCTTCCCTTTTTTGATCCATGTAGTATTTTTTTTGGGGGGGGTACCGGGGATTGAACTCGGGACCTTGTGCTTGCAAGCCAGGCACTGGAACCACTGAGCTAAATCCCTGGCCCCCATGTAGTAATTTTTATGAAGTGATCCAACAAAAAAATTCACTTTTACAAACAAGTTTTGCCATTAGTGGAAAGACATATACTATTACATTTTAAAGTTACTAAAAATCAATAATGCTCTATTCTCTGTATTAAAATAATCATTAATTTAAGAAATATCATATATATTTTCTTAGAATATCATTTACATTGACACCATTTGTTTTTTAGACATTCACCCTCCAACATCAACTTTACTCTTGTGCTATTTTGTTTTAAACTTTGTCTAATGATATGAGCAAGTCAGAGACATACCTGTGATCCACTTGCATCAAAAAGTACATGCACAGATGTTTTGGCAACGGAAACACCTTGTTTTCTTGAAAATTCCTAAAATTAATACAGAGTGATATAATTTTCTTCTTGTTTAATACAATTATTTCCTATTTGTTTTCTTCCACAATATTATACCAAATCATTACCCTGCATACAATAAATATCCTTCCTTGGATACTTCAATTACTTCCTACTAACCACTCTCCTTAGCATGCCATTTTGGTCCCTGTGTGATGGTTCCTCACAAATATAATCTGTTATTCTTCAGCATAAATCTCTTGTATCATCCAAACTTGTCAACAAAATCTCCCATCAAAGCAACACATACATTGTCACCTTAGATTCTCAGTTAAAGAATCTAGCTTCTATACTTCCTGGACAGCATCTTATCTAAATCCTATCCGACTTTAAAGGCTATTTCAAACCTCACCTCCAGGATAATGCCTTACCTTCAAACATGATGTAATTTCTGTAATTCATTTTCCTTAGACCAATTTTGTACTGCTGGGCATTATTTATGTAATTTTCACAATGTTTAATGTTTAATATCTTGAAAACAGTATTTGTCTCATTTCACCTTTTCTCTTTTTTGAAGCAGGGATCAAACTCAGGACCTTACACTTGCCAAGTAGGTGCGGCACCACTGAGTTACATTCCCAGCCCTGTCTCATTTCATTTTTTAAACACATGGCTGAAATCACCAGATGTTCTAAACAGCTACTAATTCTGTCATTTGAAACACTTTCTAAAAGACATCTCAAAGGATATGGCTAACAAGTTGATGGTTTTCCACCATACAAATTTAAAGAACTAAAATCTACATGTCGACTTAAAAACTTTAGAATGGGAAAAAGCAATGAAATTTATAGTCTGAAACTGTTTCCAGTAAATAGTTTATTAAAAATTAGTTCAAAAACTTACCCTATATTTACTGGCACCAAAAATTTTTTCAACCACATTAGTGATTTCTAATGATGTGTCAAAATACAAAAGCAGTTCTTTCCCTTCTCTTTTACTAATTTTTACTATATTTTTCAGAATTATAGTCAGTAGCTTCTTTGATTCTCTCACTGTACATAAAATAAAACCACATTGATTAGTCTGTATTTACATGATACCACTCTATATGTATAGTATAAATAATAAAATATGCATTATATTAATTAAAATCAACTAAATCAAAATTCAAACTTCAGAACTGAACAGTGTTTAATTAGCTCTGGTACAAACTACCTATATAAAAAGGTCTATTTACCTTTCAGAGTCTCAGTGTCATGATCATTACATTACATGGTAATGCTATAACTAACAACAAAGCCCAGAATAGTTCCACATCCTAACAGATTCTTCACCAAATACTTCTTGATAACATCTGAAAGAGCTCATTTAATTTTTAAAAAGGCAAAAAGAAAAAACTTTAATTCAATACAATTACTATATTTCTATGCATAAGCAGCTTATCAAACATTTCTATGAAATCTAAAGTTGTCTGAACTTCTGCTCTTATTCAGTCTCACGATTGATTTAATCAGTTGTCCTTCCTAGTATAATGAAAATGAGACAGCCTCAGAGCCATTAGACTCAAAACCTAAAGACCAGCTATATCTGGAAGACACTTCTGAGAAGCAACCATTCCATAAGTGTTTTAAATACATCAATAAAGATACTTACAATAAGCAACTTCAAAGTATCAACCCAGGAATTAAACCAAGGACAGTACCAAAAACAAAAATGAGAAGACATTTAAGTAAGGCACAAACTCAGACTTCCATTCCACAAAGGGCAAATTCTGGGGGAAAATGAGGCAGAAAAGTCTGATAATACACCACCTGGACACCCTGAACTGATAGCACAGGAAGTAATAAAACAGATGAATGAGGATCTAGAAAAATTCAAAGGAGAAATAATCTCCCAGATAACTGCAGAGATGGTGAGCAGAGTGAAAGACATGATTAGAAACTCTAGAACAGAAACAGATAAAAAAAAAACAGAAACATGCTGGAAGCCATGAATACCTAGTATAAAAAAGAAATGGAAACCAAGATCGCCCAACATAAGAAAGAAATGGAATCCATGAAACAGATTCAAACAGATATCCAGGAGATTAAAAACAACATTGAAAGCATGCAGAGCAGATTAAGGGAATCTGAAGATAGAATATCACATATAGAAGACAGGATTGCAATTTAGGACCATGAAAACAGAGAGCTCTTCAAAATAGTAAGAGACTATGAGACATCAATACAGCAGCTGCTGGATGATGCAAGGAAGAATAACATAAGACTGATAAGAGACCACGAAAAAACAGGAGAAAGTACAGTTGACATTAAAAAAACTGTTCACAGAAGTAATAGTAGAAAACTTCCCAGACAGAGGTGGAGAACTGGACATACAGATAAGTGAGGTATACAGAACTCCAACTAGCCATGATAAAAAAAAATCTAAACATAGACCTACAATAGTCAAGATCCCAGAAACCCAACCGAAGAACAAAATTCTACAGGCAGTTATAGAAAAGAAACAAATAATCTACAAAGGAAAGCCCATCAGAATCGCGGCAGACTTCTCAACATAAACCCTCAAATCAAGGACAGCCTGGAGTGAAGTATTTCAAGCCCTAAAAGAAAATAACTTCCAACCTAGACTGTTGTATCCGGCAAAATTATCTT